TTCTACCCTGCCTGGTTTTGTCCTCCTTTGGTTGCGTGCTGTCAGCTGAAATTAACTAGAAGCCAGGACTGTTTCTTTACTCTGAGTTTGCACAGCACCAAGCATGATGGGGTCCCAATCCTGACTGGGTCTTTTATGCTGGACTGTAATAGAAACTAACAATACACTGACATCAGAGTTGGAGCACAATATTTGGCAAATTGTATTTCCTTTTGTATTTTAAATATTCATTTGGCAATTGGCAATTTGTGTTAATTTTCCCCTGCAAGCCTTGATGGTTACAGATCATTCTGTTTGACTGCTGAGATACATACATTAGAGATCAGTGACTGTTTTTATTTGCAGGCTGCGGTCCTAATTTTTTAAATAAAAAAGCTGGTATATCTGTATTTTAGATCAAAAGGACCACATCACTACCCAGAATGCACCACTGCATTTCAGGATTAAATGCCAACAGGATCAAATCTAAAGATTCCTTTTCTTATATCTTGAATAAAACATTCCAATCAATAACAATAGGACTCACATCCTTAATGAGGGACAGTGGTGGGCAACCTGTGGCCCGCAGGCCGCATGTGGCCCATCAGGGTAATCTGATTGCGGGCTGCAAGTCATTTTGCTGATGTTGACCGTCTGTAGGCATGGCCCCCTGTGGCTCCCAGAGGCCGTTGGTTCGCCGTTCCTGGCCAATGGGAGCTGCAGGAAGCAGTGGGACACCAGAAGTTGAGATACGAACTTTTTTTGATCTCTATATAATAGTCCAGAGTGGGAAATAATAGAGCACATGTTCTCTTTATTAACTTGTGCAAAGAAGCTGGGCTCCATTTAATTTTTAGTCAATTAAATCATTGCTTTAAATCAACATGTTCCTGTCTGCCCGATCCATTGTTTATAACCTAATCTGGTCAGTGACCTTTACATTTGATTCAATTTTATTATTGTTTATAAACCAATGGGGTCATATTGGTGTCTTGCTTGTGGTTCCAGTCCAATGCTGTTGGAGTACTGCAGCTGTGTGCAGTGCTGTTAGACTGCCGCTTAATAGCCATAGTCTTTGAGATAGCAATCTGCATACTTCATACCATATGTATACATCTTTAGTTGGTTAGTGCAATGTTGCTCTTTCTGTTACTCTGACATTCCAGGGGCTCAGAAGGACAGTATTTGCTACTAGACAGTCAAACTGCTGAACGTACTTCAGTTTTTCTACCCTAGGAAAAATAGGCTATAGATGTTATGATGAATCATTACTGATACCGTGCTTCATGACACAATATAAATATTAAACTAGACATACATTTAAAAAAAATAAAAATGGCTAGACAGGAGATTTTCTTTAAAGAGTTCTTCTGCAATGGAATTTATCTGATCAGAAAAGAACAAACATTTTGAGACTCCAAGACAGGATATCAGTTTCATATTGTGATTATCTTATATACTCATTAAGAGAATTTATGAGAAATCCCCAAAATCAAACCCATTGTTTTGCTTTTTCACATGTTTTCAGGTGTGACAGTATGTAAAGTAAGTTACACAAAATGAAAGTCCAAAAGTTGAAAGAAGAAAGTAGCTCATAAGTCTAGGAAACATGAAGTTAGAAAGGAACAGATGTTGTTGTCCTTAAAAGAAAGCTGGGTTTGTTTGTTTGGGTATTTTCCCTTTGAATTTTTGTGACAACTGTGGAAAATTCACATGTATCTGAATATTCATCAGTTTTCCACATGGGAAATGCATGCATTAGGTAGCATATGAATAGTACTTTTCTATTGAACTTTTCTCCGGGCTCACGCACACGCGCGCGCGCACACGCACACACACACACACAGAGTTTTGGCCTACTTATTTTTAAAAAGTCCTAGGTCAAAATGTTGCAAGGATCTGATTTTATCGATAAGCATATTTATTCTGTTAATCATTGGAACAGTTTACCAAGGGAAGTAGAAAATCCATTACCACTTCAAGTTGTTAAATCAAGATCACAATTCTTTCTAAAAGATATGGTATAGTTCAATTAAGTGTTATTGGGTTTGATAGTGTTCACTTGCATAGCAGTGCCGAATTATTCTCTTCACTGTAGAAATTACTAGGTGGATTCCTGCGGGCTGTGTTACGCAGGAGATTTGATAAGGTTACCGTAAAAGTCCCTTCTGTTCTTAAAATTGAAATAAGAATCTATAAACTGCCAATCGGTGGTATCTAGGTGTTGCTGATTAAAATCTGGTAAATTCAGGGTCCAAATAGGAACCCATAGCAGTTTCTTTCAGAACATAGCAACCCCTTCCACTACTTGACATGAAGCAAATGACCCTATATTTCACTTTATGCAGCTGTGCAGACTATTTTCATTATAAAACTGAGAGCTAAACATTTTAGTAGGCTAGCAATGTTGACACATCACCCAAAAGTAAATTATCTTTTGTCCTATTCCTAATTGAGAACATTCCTTTATAGTGGGGTAAAAAAACCAAACTGAGATATTCCATTGTAATGGTTCAGAACACTGTAGTGTAATATATCCCTAACAGAATTCATCTGTAGAGAAATATTAATGTATTAACTCATGCTACAGTCCCAGGAGATCACTAAGTGTGTATCACTATTAGAGCTGCTCATTTTTCTTCAGAATTTGGCAATTTGTCAAAATTGAACCATTTCAGAGAGAACCTGTTGGAACCCAGGCCTGAATGCCTGCCAACTCACCTGACTTCCTCCTTGGCAGCCCAC